ATGGGCTAACAGAACACTAACATTAAGAGGCAAGATTTTGATACTTAAAACATTCTGTATATCAAAAATAGCATTACAAATCCAATCACTTTTCGTATCAATAGAAATAATTAACAATTTTAATCAAATTTTCTTTAAATTTCTATGGAATGGGAACGATAAAATTAAAAGGGATGTGATATACCAACCAACTCAGAACAGGGGGTTGGGCATGATTAATTTTGAAGAATTTTTGGCGTGTAAAAGCCTATTTTGGGTGAAAAAGTTATTCAATGACGAATATCAGCCATGGAAGGAAGTATTAGAATATACTATTATGCCATACAATCCGCGATTATTATGTACATGTAATTATGAATCTAAATGTATAAATATAAAATCCCAATTTTACTACCAGCTTTTTAAAAACTGGTATCAAATCTATAACCAATATATTGATAAGATTTCTCCAATTCAATCCCAAATAGCATATTTTAATAAAAATGTCAAAATAAAAACAGATGAAAATATGATCCTTAATATGATAAAGAAAAATTGTATCTTTGTTTCTGATTTTCTAAGTAATACATTAAATGAAACATTAAACGTCGCAGAAAAGTTAATCTTTAAAGGGTACAAAAAATCATGTTTAAAATTCGACGACGGGATACACAACGTTACAGATAAAACGAATAAGCACACAAATTATAAAAATGAAATATATTCTACTCTGATTAATGTTTTTCTTAAAATGTATCAATGTGATTTTCAAAAAGTTAAAGCTCGCGACATATATCATAAGAGAATAACCTCCAGATTTGTAAGACCAACAGCAATAGATAAATGGGAAACGGAATTAGATATATCACTAGATCAAGAAGCTATCAGAGAAATATTTAAAAGAATCTACTTAGTCTGTCCAAACGAAAAAACTAGAAACTTTCAATATAAATATATTCATAAAATAATATACACTAACGAGAAACTATATAAATTCAAAAAAGTTAACTCCACCCTCTGTGATTTTTGTTACTCGACAATCGAAACTGTTGATCACCTATTCATTCAATGTACACACACACAAACTTTATGGAGTAGGGTACATGAAGTATTTGATAACAATGAAATCGCGATTAATTTAAATAAAAAATCTATACATTTGGGAATAGACCTCAACCAAGTAGATAATCTTGCCCAGTATACCAATTTGTTAATCACATTATTATCTTAACAAAATATTATATATTTAGATGTAAATGTAATCAAATATCTGTCAGTCCAAGTTATCTAATGTCATATATGAGCTCGATAGCGTCTATAGAAAGAGAACAGGATCAAATAAACCATGATAAATTTAAATTATTTGATATTGTATTATAGGTAAAAATAGCATATGTATTACTGTAGTACGAGAATAGCATATTTGATATTGTATTATATGTAAAGTGTAAAAATATGGATGCTGATCAAACGGTTTATTATTCAAAATTAAAGTTGAAATGCAAAGACATTGTTTTACAAAATTTAGATGCACAAATAATTATTGGCGGCGATTTCAATAATGTAATTAATCCAACGATCGATAGAGACGGTGGTAATTACAGAATTAAAACAAATAGTAGTAATATTCTAAAATCTATTATTGACGAATTCGAACTAATTGATATATATCGCTTAAAAAATCCTCAAAAGAAAGCATTCACGTGTCATAAAAAAGACCTATGATAAAAAGAAATACAAGAGGTAATAATTTATGGATTTTCAACTCGTCGCTTGTCCTTGATAAGAATTATTAAGAATTAATAATGCGTGTGTGGGCAAATGAATATCACGATGCGACAGATAAGTTAGGCTTATGGGATTATATCAAATATCGAATTAAATTAGAAACAATTGACTATAGTAAGAAAAAAAAACAAAATTAAAAAGGCTCTTAAAGATACCTTAAATCAACAACTTTTGGTTTTAGAAACTGAGCTAAACGAGGCTTTGGCTGAAAATTATGAAAATCTTTTTAATAAATACCAGGTAGTGAAATCGAAACTTGAACGCATTATAACGAAGAAGTTAGTGGTTAAATTATTCGATCAAAAATAAATTGGTATGAATTTCAAGGAAAAAATAATACAATATTTCTAAATTTAGAAAAGGAACGCAAATAAGCAAATTGAAAAAAGAAAACGGTGAATATATTTTATCCTCTTATGATATTAACCAAGAGATATTTAATGATTATGCACGCCTTTATTCTGAAAATAAGGACTGTGTCTCGTTTGGAACTAACCTTTATAAATTTGAATATAAAAACCCTCCAAAAATTGACGAAAATACCAAACATATATTAGAATATAAATTATAAATCCCGGAAACGATGGATCATCTGTCGAATTTTACAAAACATTTTGATCCGATGTATCTTCCTATTTCTTAAATTCTATAAATACTGCTTTCGAAAACGAAGAATTATCAACAAGCCAAAGGCAGTCTATTATAAAACTAATTCCAAAAGATTCTAAAAATAAAACTGAACTCAGTAATTGGCGTCCAATTAGCTTAATTAACGTTGACGTAAAACTTGCCAGTAAAGTCTTATCAATCCGACTTAAACCATTTCTCAACTCCTCATCCATCCAAATCAAACAGCGTTCGTTCCAGGCCGCCATATCCATGAAAATTTAAGAGTAATAAATGAGTGTATAGATCTAGCTAATAATAAAAGGATAGTAGGATTCCTTTTAGCAATTGATTTTAGGAAAGCCTTTGATAGTATCAATCATGACTGTATGTATAAAATTCTTGAACTTTTTGGTTTTCGTAAAAATTTTATCTGCTGGATAAAAACACTTTATAAAAATATAACTGGCCCTGTAATGAACAATGGAATCACTACTAAATATTTCAACATATCTAAAGGAGTAAAACAAGATGACCCAATGAGTGCTAATCTTTTCAACTTTGTAATAGAATTTCTCCTTCAATCAAAAGATTACAGGAATTTACTTTGGTAATGAGCAACTAAAATGTATATCATTTGCTGATGATTTAACATGTTTATTAAGAGAATATAAATCTGCTAGGCATCTTTTTGAATTATTAGAATTGTTCAAAGAAGTATCTGGATTGAGTATTAACATTTCAAAAACTGATGCAATAAATCTTAATTTATCTAAAGAAGAAATTGAAAAATGTATGAAATTATTAAAATTGAAAGTTAATAATTAACCAATAAAAATATTAGGAATATCTTTTACACTAAATAAAACTGAATCTATAAATCTGAATTTTGAAAATAAATTGAAAGATATTGATACAGTTATTTCAAAATGGAGCACAAGTGAAATTAGAATTAAATTATCTTCAGAATATTATCATTTTGGAATTGTGGACAAAACGAAATTTAAAACCAAACCACAGTGGCTCTTTGCGAACCAATTAATACATTTGACAAAATATTATATTTACAAATGTAAACTGTTAAATATTGACCCTAGTAAATTCGACCTTTGTAGATATTTGAATAAAATCAAGAATTTAGAATTAAACACATATCCTAATTCAAAAATTTACAATAAAAAATGGAAAGATATACAAGCTTTTTAAAGACCCCTCTAAATGTCACAAATACCCATAAACAACGTGTCATGTATTTTATAGATTAAAGATGTATGAGATCTATAGTTAAATTTGTTAGATGTAGGATTGGAACCCTACCTTTATATATGTTCTGTATGATAATGTAAAATGTATAATATGTATGTGAAAAATAACGAATTTGAAAAACAATCTGAACTTTCAATGTTCTCACCTTGTTCAAATGGAATCCCGAATGCGACAACTGTTAAGTCATCGTTCTCTATCGGTCTTTGTTGAGTGGGTTTCTTTTCATTCACTTCACTATTTTCTATATTCGACATTCTATCTTGTAATCCTTTAACACTGTTCACCATTTCGTCAATCCTAATCCTCTCACTAACATATCTATTGACAATTCATCATGTAAAGTTTTAACTTTTGTATCAATTTTATTCATTAATTCATCTTTCAAACAGTCTATTTTATCTTCAAATATTTTACACATCTTTTCCTGGTTGATTTTCATATCTGCTATTCCCTCTATCAAGATCTCCATTTGTTTAGATATCACCTCTATTGCGCTATCTTTCGGGATTGAACTTTCATCCTCCATTCTGTAGCTTTTCAGGTTTGGTTTCGGAGTTTCACCCTCACTGTGCCGATATCTTTTTAGTGTACCACAATTATTATTGCTTGACATTCCACAGATCAATGCAATATCACCTTTATATTTATAA